AATCATGAAGTACTTGCTTTAGCACAACTTGATATTCTGATCTACACATCTGATTTGTGTTGGCCCAAAAAACCCTAAGTGGAGTATCAGACACACACATCTTGCATCATGCATACCCTGGTCTTGATTGTGAAACCAATTCTCGCCTAACCAAGATTAGGTCGCCACCAAATGAACCTCAGTCAATACTTCCTACGCACACTTGACCTGATAGCCTCAAATGAATCTTGCAACAACTTGAGTTATACAAGAAGAATGAAATCAGAGCCAACATATTTGTTTGGATTTTTTGAATAATGGTTAGTGGATGGAAGTACAAATGAAAAGTATACATGTAGGACAAATTTGGGGTATGACACCACCCTAGCAAGGTTGTTGTGTAGATATAAAGAATGGGAGAGCCTAGAACATTTATTGATTAAATCTTGGAGGTACAAAGTCTTGTTACATAGCTCTAGATGAAGATTCCACCAGAACATGATCGTCTTCCACTAGAGGAGGGGGAGGAAGAGGCAAAGCTTTGAAAGCTTCATTGGTTGCAGCGACAACTTGTCGTTGAATAGAAGGTTGGGTGACTTTGAATATCCTTGTGCTCGATGAATATGATAATAGATTTGTCTAAGAGTGAGGTTGAAGCTTCAAGAAGGAAGATCATCGATCTGGATCTTTAGTGAAGAACAATGTTTTTTTGTGGAAATTATAGGGAATCAGAAGTCGTTTCCCACACATAGTGCCACTGTTTTGTTAGATAACCAGAAGTGTGTAGTGAATTGTGAGATGAGATCTTAGATTGATGGCACACGTTTCCAAAGAGAAGGCTGACCTGCAAGGTTAACTTTCTAACGCTCAAGTCAGTGAGAGAATGAGAAGTGATGTGAGAGTGAAAATAAATATGAATATTTAAGATAACACACTTTACGCTTATATATCAAAAATGGTTGGAACCGTTCGTGAGTGATGCATTGTATTGTGCGAACAATCTTCTGATTGAATTGGATGATAATTAATGCGTCGAAGGATGGAAGTCTCTGCTTCTTCATAAGACGACGATCTACCTATTCCATGCGCTTATTTGCTTGGAGTTTGTACTTGAGCCATTTACCACGGGCTTTGCGGACGACCCTAAACATAGATGATAATTTATTCTTTTACAAATATAAAATACATACATGTACTTAGAAAGTTTAAAAGAAAAAAAATGTTAGTTGAGTTAAATGAATGTAAACGACTGGTTTAAAATTTAATTTCTAGCGACAACATTTATTTATATTTATGTATTAGTATAAACAAATTATTGATGTTTATAAATCAACATATATATATATATATATATATATATATATATATATATATATATATATATATATATATATATATATATATATATATATATATATATATATATATATATATATATATATATATATATATATATATATATATATATATATATATATATATATATATATATATATATATATATATATATATATATATATATATATATATATATATATATATATATATATATATATATATATATATATATATATATATATATATATATATATATATATATATATATATATATATATATATATATATATATGGAAAAGTGTTTAATCAAGTACATAGAAAAAAAATAAAAATTGCCAATAAAGATTGATGGTAGGTTTGTTCAAAAATATCAAACTCAACCGAGCGAAGGTAATTGAAGAACGAGAGGTTCTATCAATTTAGTAACGTTAACCGGAGAATTGTGGAAGGAAGGTTTGGGTTTGAATTGTAGGTGTTTAAAATTAGCCAGGAAAAGAATTAAAGATCGTTGGGTTATTCAAAGGTGGTGCTGCAATCAGAGGTTTACTCATCACATTTGAAGGACTTGATTCATCTTGAATCAAGGGAAGATAAGGCATAGGTTCAGCATCAACGATTAGGATTGGATGTTTGATTTCTACTACTTCTCTTGTAAAAACAATTTGCAACAGGTTCTATATACAGGTCTCAATTCTATTTTTAAAATTAAGGGCAGACGTACCCCGAGTGAGGACAACAGGGGAACTGCCTCAACAAATTGGTGTTGTTCTCTCTTTTCGCTATTTTCATTTTTGAATTTTTACATTTGTGTGCAATCAAATTGGTTGACTAAAATTCTGGTTTATTGTAGTGCTGAAACACATTAAGAAAACTCATTACAATCCGTTTGGTTATAATCGGAAAAGCTTAGCACTACATTTACTTAATGAATTTTACTTGGAGCGCTTCGCACATCAAGTGTTCGACAAATTGTTTGAATACAAACGTTTTGAGCTGTTTTTCAATTTGTGTTTATTTTTCACAAGCATTGGAAATTGAACAACTTTGAGTGAACAAAATCATATTGATTTGTGTTCAAACTATTGATTCGATTTCTCATCTTTATTGGTATTCCATATAGGCGTAGCGTATATCCGATCTTTTTGGTAACAGTTCGTTTAGAAGATCGTAGTTCCTTGGCCGTTTCCGCATAAAAGTTTTAAAAACCAATTTATGATAAGTGTTGAATCTGTCTAAGGATAAGTGATCTAAAGATTCAAGATCCTTGCTACATTATTTTTTACTTTAGAGCTTCATGGATGGAATCTTTAATCTTTTCTCTAATGAAGCTTGAGATAGCTTCCATATGAGCAACATCATTAGAGACGAGTGCAAGCTCATAGATCCTCATATTGATCTTCAAGCACCATCACTTGGTAAACATACTAAGTACAATCACTTGATCCTCAATATTTCAAGCACCATCACTTAATCAACATATCAAACACCATCACTTGACAACATATAAAGCACTATCACTTGATCAACAACATATCATATGACTTCATCTTAACCAATTAAGTCTTGAAGAATAAGATTGATGAGGACTTCTCTTAAGAGCATTATCAATATAAAAACTAAATCAATAGATAGTTGTAGTACTTACAAGCACATAAATCCACAATCTCAGGGTCTCTCCCCGTGGTGTAGCTGTGTCAACGGAGGCTAGCTCATGTACGACGACTTGATTATCTCAGGAGGCTGCTTCTTGTACAATGTTACTTCTTGGTGGAGCCTATTATAGTCTATCTTCAATCCTGAATATTCTATCTGCCAAGAATTTTGAGTTATGTTAGTGTACTAGATTGTAGATGTTGTTAAACAACTCAATGACTCCATGTACTCAAATATTTACTTGCAATAGTAGAAGTCTTAGGAGCATTTTATATCTAGGTACAGCAGGTTGTGGGAGAGGTCGATGTGTTGGTCTTCCCTAGCAAGGTTATTGTGTAGATCTAAAGAATGGGAGAGCCCGGAACATTTATTGATCAACTCTTGGAGGAACAAAGTCTTGTTACATTGTGCCAGATGAAGATGCCACTAGAACATGATTGTCTTCCACTAGAGGTGGGGGAGGAAGAGGCATAGCTTTGGAAGCTTCATTGGTTGCAGCGGCAACTTGTCATTGAATGGAAAATTTGGTGACTTTGGATGTCTCTGTGCTCGATGAATCTGATAATAGATTTGTTTGAGAGTGAGGTTGAAGCTTCAAGAAGGAAGATCATCGATCTGGATCTTTGGTGGAGAACAATGGTTTTTGTGGAAATTATAGGGAACCAGAAGTCGATTCTTACATATGGTGCCACTGTTTCGTTAGAGAACTAGAAGTGTCAAGTGAATTGGTGAGATGAGATCTTAGATTGGTGGCACAAGTTTTCAAAGAGAAGACCTGCAATATTAACTCTCCAACGCCCAAGTCAGTGAGAGAATGAGAAGTGACGTGAGAGTGAAAATGAATTTGAATATTTAAGGTAACACGCTTTACACTTATATATCAAAAGCGGTTGGAACCGTTCGTGAGTGATACAGTGTATTGTGCGAACAATCTTCTGATTGAATTGGATGATAATTAATGCGTTGGAAGGTGAAACTCTCTGTTTCTTCATAAGACGACGTCTACCTATTCCATGTGCTTATTTGCTTGGAGTTTGTACTTGAGCCTTTTACCATGCGGACTACTCTAAACATAGATGATACTTTATTCTTTTACAAATATAAAATACATACATGTACTTAGAAAGTTTAGAAAAAAATGTTAGTTGAATTAAATGAGTGTAAACGACTGGTTTAAAATTTAATTTCTAGCGACAATATTTATTTATATTTATGTATTACTATAAACAAGTTATTGATATTTATAAATCAACCATTTTAAATTTATATATATATATATATATATATATATATATATATATATATATATATATATATATATATATATATATATATATATATATATATATATATATATATATATATATATATATATATATATATATATATATATATATATATATATATATATATATATATATATATATATATATATATATATATATATATATATATATATATATATATATATATGAAAAAGTGTTTAAACAAGTACATAGAAAAAAAATAAAAATTGTCAATAAAATATGGATTGATGGTAGGTTTTAAAAATATTAAACTCTAAAAGAAACTAATAAAAAATTCATATAAACAGGCACATTAATATGCTAGAAAATTTTAGTATTCATCATTTCATTTACAGGGTAGATCAAACACTTAATTCACTTGACAATTTTTTTAGTAGTATAATACAAGTAGAAAATTTTTAAAATTTTTGTTTAGTATTGGAAAGTTTACATCTATACATAGAACAACTACATCTATATTTCTTCTTTGGACTGTGGAATGACTTGTCTATTTAAGGCCTCATAAACCAGAATGTTAACAATTTGAGCCTAGACATTTGCACAATATATTCAGGATGATGATAGAAACATTGAAAATTCTTCAAATTCAACTGGTAGAGTTGGTGACAAAAAGTGTTTCTTGTATTACAAGCAACCTCCCAATTCTCAATAGAAAGACAAGAAATCCAATGCTATAACCAATGCTCTTTTGTGAGGGATTCACTTTATCAAATGCTTTAAGTTCTAGCTTTGTAGTGAGATCGGTCTCGAAGAATGATCCGAATCAGATATGCCATTTTGTTCTTCGTTGCGCTTTCTCTTTAACTCACTTTCAACCGCGACTTTTGCTGAATCTGCCATCTCTGCATTCCTCAAAGCCAAATCTGTTGCTGCTTTTATTTCTTCAATTGCTTTAAGATTAGCTTCGACTTTTTTCTCAACTTCGTTTCTTCTCGCGTTGATCGCTTCAACCTGAGCCATTGCACTCGCTTCCGTTCTCTCAATCAAATCTTCTGATTCCTTAATCTTACCGCTTAATGCAGCAAATTCATCGACTGTCAATATGATCTTACCACTGGCATCCGAAACCGAGATACTGCCTTGTAAGTCAGATAACAACTTCATTTCCTCAACAGCTCTTTTCTCTTCTGCTTTTGCTTCTTCAGCCTGTTTCAACAAAAGCTCTAGTTTCCCTTCTATTTCCTCAGACAAAGCCTTGGATTTCTCGATTTGTTGTGTCAGTTCCTGAGTTTTTATTCTCATCTCTTCTTCTTCTTTTCTTGCATTCTCCGACTCAAACGATAACTGCTTGATTTTCATTTCTGTCTCATGACAGTGTCTCTCATTAGATTCTTTGCTCTCAAAAGAATCTTCTTCTTCTTTGCTACATTGTAGTGAACCGGTTAGGTTCGTGGCAAGTGCTTCTGATGCTTTTTGTTTCTCCTTAAGCTCCTCTTGTTCTTTCTTCACTTGTTCTAATTCCGCCTTTAGCGAATCCACTAGGTTTCTCAGTGACGTTTCTTCTTCAGAAATTTCCTGTAATGTCTTTGTGGCTTCTTTGATCTCCAAAGTTATTACCTCAACAGAATCCATCTCAGAATCATGAAACTCTTTCAGTTTCTCTTGAAGAACTTGAATCTCATCGCTCGTCTCCACGAGTTTCGCTCCGAGGCTTTGCGTTTCTTCAGGATCATACTCGTTCTTTATTTCCATCAGTTTCTTCTCAATTTCTTCCTTTGAAGCTTTGTACGAGTTTAACTTTTCTTCTTTCTCTCGAGTCGCTTTTACCTGTTCTTCTTGTGCTTGCGCAGTTGCTACCTTGAATTGTTCAGTTGAAGCTTTCATGGTTGCAATTTCCTTTGAGAGTTCATTGATCTTCTCCGAGTTCAACTTCGCAGAACGCTGCGCTTCGCCTGCTGTCTGAAACGCAGCCAATTTCGCCTCCAAAGCAGCGTCGAAATCTTGTCTGATCTTGTTGAGTTCTTGCTTCGAAGCATCGAGTTCCTTAACAGTTGTAGTGTACTCTTTTCTTGCATGCTCTAGTTCTTGTTTCCAAGCTTCGTATCCTATCGCTTTTTGCGACAACGCCCTTTCGAGTTCCTTGGCCTGATTCCTTACAATCTCGCTTTCTTCAATTGCAGACTGCTTTGATTCTCTCACATTGTTGAGTTTCTTTGTCAATTCTAGAAGGGTCACATTGGCCTTATCGAGCTCCGAAAGCGCTTTGGTTTTTGTATTCTCAGCGCTTTCGAGCTGTTTCTTTATCTTGTTCAATTCTCTTTGAGCCAACATAAGCTGTGTCTCCTTTTCCAATACATTCTGTCAATCACACAAATAATCACATTGTTATAAAAATCATAAAATTTCTTAATCGTGCTTCATAGCTAAATCATGCAAACTTGCGCGTCTCTTTTATTAAGACGCTGTTTGGATAAACAACTTAATTAAGCATTTACAACTTAAGCGCTTTGCATAAACTATTTCTATAAAGTTTTCAAAAATCATCTGCAACTACAATTCTGACCGCAATATTAAAGATCGCACGTGATATCAAAATCTCGATTCCTAATACAAAATCGAAAAATATATACACACGATGTTTACCTCCGAAGATTTTCTCTTGATAGAATTACGTTTGTCCTTGTTGACACAAACTTCACCAAACAAACTAACAGCAGCTTTGACAGATTGAAATGGCGCTCGTGTGTCGATCTCCCTCTCTCCCTTCGGAGAACCTGAATCCTTCGGAGAAGTTTCTCGGTTTCGGAAACTCATTATATATTTTTTTTCTTACTTTCAAAATTTATATTTCTCTGAAAGATAAATAGCAATGAGCATTGTTAACATAAATCTTGTTATATAAGATTCTATAATTGCATAACATAACATGTTACCTATGATTGAACAAAATATATGTTTACCTTAATGTATGTATAATGCTACAAGAAAATTCTTTTGATGAGATAGATTTCAGAATTTTCTTGCAAAGGTGTTGGAATTCAAAAGAACCAAGATGAAGAATTTGATTCCTTTTAATTTCAAGTTTTATTTACCCTTTTGAGACCGTTGAAAAACAAAGAAAACAGGCTAAAATATGGTTGGTTAAATTTGATTTGATGTATAATATAATAGAAAATATGCTATTTGTAGGTTGAGAAGTGTATAGAGTTTTGTGGTGGTTTTGACAATAAATGCCAACCTCACAGTGTTGTAAATAAAATAAAAAACTCTATCATATCTGTATTTGGAAAACAGTATAATGGAAGATTCCATAGTAGATATAACATGACCAGATTTCTAGAACAATTTTAACAAAGAATTAGTTAATATAATAAGTTGTCATGTCATAAATCATGCATTAACGGTTACGCGTGTGAGTTTTTAGTAGTTATTATCACTTTCTATAAACAAAAATAGACAAACTTAAAATGAAAGTTGTAATTTGTTTATCTAATGGTTAAGATGAATAACAAAATGATTTTGAAACGTGGTTAATGTGATATGTCATTATCAAATGGCGACAACTCTCCATATATATTAGGATTCTAAAAATGGAATGTTACCTAATTTTGATTAAAGTTTCTAGATCTAGATCCTTGATTATTATTAATACAATTGTGTTCAATAAGGTTAAGGTTTGATCATGTCATCATAGCAACTACTCATTTAATGATATAAACCTATAACCACCAAAGAGGTCTTTGTCTTAACATAATATCATTTTTAGACACAAGTATGATAAAAAAGATGGGTCTAAAGCTTCAAGGTGAGGTTGTGCTTTCCAAGTACCAATACTACATGTTCTTTTTCATTTGTAAAGGAAATGGGTTTTCTGTCTTTGTTTATGGTAAGAAGTGTGTATCAAGATATAAACACTTAGCAAAAGTAATACTATCAACACATTTTCTAAAACACACGTTCCAACACATTCTCTTTTATTAAGTAGATCCTCTCAATTTTTTCTCACTTTCTATTATAGCTTTCATTTTTAATAATAAAATTAAGGATGATAATAAGTAGGGTTTAAGTAGGGTACTATAATATTTGTCCTTATACATGTAATTTTAAAAAATCCTTGTATATGAGTTTAGATTCGCCTCAATCTTTTGAGAGGTCATGTGTAAGAAATTGAAGTTAACTTCAATTAAGTCGTGAATTTTTTTTAAGAGACCTTATTTAATCGTAAATTAACTGTAAAATATTTGTATGGAGACCTTTTTTTTTCATAGCTTAATCATGAAAAAGTGTGAGACGTTGTGTTGTAGGCTGTCTTGCACGTCTTCAAAGGCGACCATGCCCAAACTCATACTCGTGTGGGCACAATAATTTGTATTCGTGCCCATGCTTAGTGGGTAACTAAGCATCTATACCCGTATCTGTTTACCCGTATTTCTAATAAAACATTATCGATCAATTATCTTTTATAATGTCATTTTAAGAACATTAAAAAAATTCAAGGATATTATTGTTAAGTTAAGAAATAAACAAACACTTACATTAAAATTCGTACAAATTTAATATAGATGTATTCAATAAAATTGATAAGTATACATGTGTTTATAATAATAATAATAATAATAATAATAATAATAATAATAATAATAATAATAATAATAATAATAATAATAATAATAATAATAATAATTTGTATTCTTGCCCATGCTTAGTGGGTAGCTAAGCATCTATATCCGTATCTGTTTACCTGTATTTCTAATAAAACATTAAAATTCGTACAAATTTAATATAGATGTATTCAATAAAATTGATAAATATACATGTGTTAATAATAATAATAATAATAATAATAATAATAATAATAATAATAATAATAATAATAATAATAATAATAATAATAATAATAATAATAATAATAATAATAATAATAATAATAATAATAATAATAATAATATGTAGTGCGGGTATGGGACGAGTTTGGTATTAAGGTACCCATGCCCGCGTATTTTAGTGGGTAATTATTTGTGTCCATACCCGTATCTATTTTTTGGGTTTTTATTTAATCTGTTGTGGATAATTTTTTTGGATACATTGTGGGGAGGAGTCAAATTGTCATCCCTAAACAAAATATTTAAGATTCATTTAATCTTACACTAATATTTAATGTCACACTATTATGTATCTTGAAAAAATAGTAATAGAAGAAATAAACACAATAAAAAATAGTCCAATCAGAACGAGCAAGTTAAGAGTTTTTGGATTGGCATATCGATGTCAATAAGTTCTTTGACGTTATGGGCGTCCTTGAGAACGAGCAAGTTAAGATGGTGGCGATCATGCTGAAGAGTAGTGTTGTTGTCAGGTGGGATAAACTTTTTGTCCAGAGGCAAAGACATAGGAAGCGATCATTCAGAACTTGGCGAAGAATGAAGCAATTGATGCTGGAATGGTTTTTACCTGAGGATAATGAGCAGATTCTTTATAAGATGTATATCGAGTGTGTTCAGGGCAAGAGAACTGTGACATAATGCATAGTTGAGTTCCTGCACTTTTCTAAGCGCAATGAATTGGGAGAATCAGAGAACCAGAAAGTGGCTCGATACATCAGTGACTTAAAGGAATCCTTGCAGTAGAAGATGGGTTTAAAGGTTGTATGGACCCTGGTTGAGGCATCCAGCCTAGCTTTGAAGGCAAAATTGATGGATAAATCCCCTCAAAACTTCTCATCTTTTAGAAGGTATTCACCCCATAATAACTTTGAATTAACAGGTGACAAGGAAAAGAGTGCAACAACCAATGATCTCAACCTTGGACATAAAAGGGCTAGAAGCTCTAGTGGTGTGACGTAGGGTAAAACACCAGCCCAGAGGCAAAATAATCCATTTACTAAACCTACTGAAGACGCATGTTATCATTGTAATGTAAGAGGTCATTGATCAAATGTTTGTCCAAAAAGGAGATTTGTTACTATTGCATAAGAAATGGCAAAAGAGGAAGAAAGAAAATAATTTGCAGTTTAGAATGATGAATATGCAGAGGTTGAGTTTGTAGAGGAAGAATCTGATGATCGAGCAAATTCTGTGTTCTAGAGAATTTTACTAGCATCTAAAGATGAAGAGCATCACAAGAATCTACTCAGATCAGATTGTTCTATAAAGAACAAAATGTGTAATATGATCGTGGATAATGGCATCATGGAGAATCTGGTGTTGTGGAAATTAGTAGATTATTTGAAGTGGTCCTCAGAACCCTATGAGAAGCCATACACACTCAGTTGATCCCTAAGGAGATAAGATTTTATAGGAGCAGATTGAGGATTTATTGTTGAAAGGATTCATTTGTGAGAGCATGAGTCCTTGTGCAGTACCAGTCCTTCTAGTACCTAAGAAGGGAAATCAATGGTGAATGTATGTTGACAGCAGAGCCATCAATAAGATAACTATCAAGTATCGATTTCCAGTCTCCTGTTTGGAAGACATGTTTGACGAGTTGATAGGTTCTAAATTTCTCATGTTATACCAGAGGTAGAATAATCCATGGACTAAGCCCACTGAAGATGCATGTTATCATTGTAATGGAAGAGGCCAATGATAAAATACTTGTCCAACAAGCAGAGTCGCTACTAATGCATAAGAAAGGGCAGAAGAGGAGGAAAGAGAAAGATCTAGAGTTGAGAACGATGAATATGCAGAGGTTGAGTTTGCAGAGGAAGAATCTGATGAGCGGGTAAATTTTGTGTTATAGAGAATTTTACTAGCATCCAGAGATGAAAGGCAGCACAAGAATTTGTTCAAAACACATTGTTCTATAAATAACAAAGTGTGTAATATGATCATGGATAATGGTCTCATGAAGAATCTGGTTTCGTGGAAATCAGTAGATTATTTGAAATTGTCCATAGAACCCCGTGAGAATTCATACACCATCAGTTGAGCCCTAAGGAGAATGAGATTTTAGGAGAGCAGATTTAGGATTTATTGAAGAAAGGATTCATTTGTGAGAGCATATGTCCCAATGCAGTACCAGTCCTTCTAGTTCCTAAGAAGGGAAATTAGTGGTGAATATGTGTTGACAGCAGAGCCATCAATAAGATACCTATCAAGTATCGATTCCAAATTTCCTGTTTGGAAGACATGTTTGACGAGTTGGCAGGTTTTAAATTTATCATGTTATACCAGAGGAAGAATAATCCATTTACTAAGCCCACTGAAGATGCATGTTATCATTATAATGGAAGAGGTCGCTAATCAAATGCTTTTCCAACAAGAAGAGACGCTACTATTGCATAAGAAAGGGCAGAAGAGGATGAAAGAGAAGGATCTGCAGTTGAGAATGATGAATATGTAGAGGTTGGGTTTGTAGAGGAAGAATCTGATGAGCAGGTAAATTTTGTGTTCTAGAGAATTTTACTAGTATCCAAAGATGAAGGGCAGCACAAGAATGTGTTCAAACACATTGTTCTATAAAGAACAAAGTGTGTAATATGATCGTGGATAATGGCATCATGGAAAATCTAGTGTCGTGGAAATTAGTAGATTATTTGAAGTTGTCCACAGAAGCCCGTCAGAAACCACACACCCTCGGTTGAGCCCTAAGGAAAATGATATTTTAGGTGAGCAGATTGAGGATTTGTTGAAGAAAGGGTTCATTTGTGAGAGCATGAGTCCTTGTGTAGTACCAGTCCTTCTAGTTCCTAAGTATGAAAAACAGTGGCGAATGTGTGTTGACAACAGAGCCATCAATAAGATAACTATCAAGTATGGATTCCCAATTTCCTGTTTTCAAGACATGTTTGACGAGTTGGGCGGTTCCAAGGTGTT